CAAGCCTGCAGATCTTAAAAACAATATATATATTATATTTAGGTGGAAGGCTATTGTAGTACTTCATTATGTGAAATTTGATGTTTTTGTGTAGGGTATCAATACAGCTAAATGTCGTTTCTTCCAAACCTGTTTCCCGGAGAAATCTAGAACTCTGTGTCTGTAGGGGAACTTAACTTTTGCTTGTTTTGCTTTCTGAAAAGGAGTGGTCTGGAATATTATGTAGAAGTATTTTTTTAAAAAAATATATTTCATAAAATCATTTAGGTTTGAAAATACCTCTAAGATCATGTCCATAAAATATTTTGGGAAAATAAGTGTTCTTCAAATTTTGCACAAATATGTAAGTCCATCAGATGGAGATGTGTTTTGGGTTTTGTATTTTCTCGTTTTCATTTGTTAATTATACTTTGATAACTTTATGGTCTCTGACTTTATTGTCAAAATTTGACTACAACTTCAGAAAGATTGTCTAAGGAAAAATTAATGGGCTTCAGAAATTACTGAAAACTGCTCAGAAGTGTTTCCCCTGTGGTATCAGAGGCAAACTCTGACTTTTTCAGTATCAGAATCAGCTGTTCGGCTTTATTCTTATTTGACTGATGTGAGAACCAAATATATGCCGGTAACCAGGGTGACCACCAAACCACAGAAGCAGGAATGCAGGCACTGTTATGCTTAGTCTATCCTAGCGGGTAGAAGACCTGCTGTTTGCACCAATTTATCAAGGGCTTGTGCTGTGATCTCTGTGCTTTGATCTCTCTCCCAACAGGGAGCTCAAGCATGGCCTTGAGAGTGCCTCCAAGTCTCTGTAAACACCTATCTTATCTTTACACAAAAATTCTTCTTCTCAGACAGAGAACAGCAGTAGGCATACTATATTATTTCCCACACTCATATTCTTCAGTCCAGCTGCAAGGTCACTTTGACCAAATCTATCATCCTCCTTGCCAAATCTTCCACTTTTAACCCTTTCCTCCCAACAACTGAGAAACAACATAGCCAAACTTCTACTCATGTCATGCACCAATTTTGGATTTTTAAAGCCGTTTTATTATGCCTTAGTCTTACATTGTTCCAGTAACCTTTAAGCAATCTTGAAGCTCATTTCTTTAAACCCTGATGATGTTATGTACATTGCAGCCTGAAAAGACAGTTGTAAACTGTGGCCAGAACTTCTACTTTTCACAACTGTTTTATAACTTCTTGGAACAAAAATGTCAGAAGTAGAGCAACCATGAAAGTTTATCCTAATTCCAGGTAACTTGTTCTACCTAAACAGTTAACATTCACAGCCCTAGATAATCCCTAACATAAACCAGATGCAACTCTGTACTTGACACTGTAAAGGATAAGGGATAGAAAAACAAAAGGGACTGTTTGTATTTACTGGGATGATAGACAAATCTGTTGAGCATTTTTCACTAGGAAGCTGAGGGTTAGGGGCATTCCAGCAGTTTTTCTTGACTGTTGGGCACCTGTGTTTTGTTTTTTTTCCCCTTTACAACAGTGGTATAAATCACTGGACTGCAGACATGGCCTGTCACTAGACTGATCATCATTACTATTGCTGTAGCAGTTATGCTTGTACATGCCTCCTGCTGTGCAACACATACACTTTCAGGAAGTATGCTGCTCTGTCTGGCAATGAATGTATAATCAGGTGAATTAAGAATTCAGTCACTTGGAACTTTAAAGATCAAAGATATTGTTAGGTGTTAGTTCTAGGAATGATGTCTGAATAGATCTTTCTGTAGAGGTTGATTTGTCACCAAATTAAGCTAGCAACTCATTAGGCATACAGGACTGTAGAGCATGTCAGTCTTCAGGGGATGATCAGTTTTCAGTTTTATGCCTATGGTAACAGACAAGGATAAACTTGCAGTTTTTCTTTTCTAAGTAGGATGTTGCAGAATCCCCACGAGACTTGGAAAATAAAGCTTCTCTGGTGCATTGCTTCCTAAAATCTCCCACTTCTCACAAGCGTGCAAAGCTTGCTTTATTTATAGCAAGGGAAAGATTGCTGCAGAGCAGTTGAAGGGGTGGGGTTGTGTGTGCTGTAACACAGAAGTAGAAATTTGTTTACAAAGTTGATTTGTAGATGGCTGCAGAGTAGTTATATGGCCACAAGGATTAGAGTTTGCAAAGAACTAATTAAATATTAAGTCATAACTTTTTCTTTTTTTTTTTTTGCAAAGGGTACTGCCCGCAGAAAGAAGAAGATTGTCCACAGAACAGCTACAGCAGATGACAAGAAACTTCAGTTTTCTTTGAAGAAACTGGGTGTCAACAATATATCTGGAATTGAAGAGGTAATTGCTTCAAAGGGAAAAATGCTTTTCTATAAAGAAATATAAAATTTATTAAACTTAATTTCCTGATAATTAACATCTTAAACTTGCCTGTAAATTATCTATTGATGCTTAATTGAGCTTTAGGAACTTCAGCTAGTTTCCTGTTAAATTGAAAAATCATTCTAAACTGCTTGAAATACTGGGGGGGGGGGTTGTTGGTGTGTTTTTTTTTTTCCTTGCAGGTAAATATGTTTACCAACCAAGGAGCAGTCATTCACTTCAATAACCCTAAAGTTCAGGCATCCCTGGCCGCTAACACTTTCACTATCACTGGCCACGCTGAGACAAAGCAGCTGACAGAAATGCTTCCTAGCATCTTAAATCAGCTTGGAGCTGACAGTTTGACTAACCTGAGGAGATTGGCAGAAGCCCTACCCAAGCAATGTAAGTTAAAACTTAAATGCATTTCCTGCTGGCAGCTGACATGGCTTATTTGTATAGCTGCAGTGAAATTCAGTGCACTCTTACTGTCTGCAAACATATAAAATGCTTCTAAAGAAATGAGACTCTTAAATCTTATTTATAGCTCAAATCCAACAGTGAATATAACGGAATAAAGCAGAGGCATCTGTCTCTTAGCATATCTTGCAGCTGGTCTAGGACTAGAAAGTTGTAGCCAGACTTGATGTCATGGTAGTTTACTACTTGGTGTGGCTACCATATTTTGGCATACCTAGTTCGTTAAAGCTAGATAGAGTTACTCTGGTAGTTAGGTTTTAAAAAAGGTATGTCTGTTTTGACACTTTCAATGGAAACATAAACAATAGGGAGAGGGACTTGAGGACAGATATCTTGCTACTGCTTTGATCCCTCACAGGTGTGGTGAAGGTATTTCTTCTTGCATGGGCTTTTTGATAGCTAAGAGGGAATTATACAGTATTTGTAAGGAAATATATTACAATATCTGTGTGTGTTGAACAGTGTAGAGAACAGGACTGGCATGACCATTAAGCTAGATACACCAACTTCGAATTCTATCCTTAAATTAGTAAAAGAACCTGAACACTTGTTCTCCCTAAAACTATGTAAGAAAAGTAGACGAGGGACTTAAGTGCTGCTGCTACAGGGTAAGAATTGGGAGTGAAAGACATGCTTGTTGACACTGGGACTGTTCTTCATGTCCTGCATGTAGGGTCTTCCTACTTCTCGTGGTAGTTATAAAGTTGATTGTTACATTTTTTCTTTCTGTGCTTTGCTACCAGCAAAGATAGACTCTATTTCAATTCCTGAAGCTGACGATGCTTCTCATCTGTCAACTTCCCACTGAAAAAAAATCTGCTAGAAGTAGTCTTCAGGAGGTGAACTGCTTTCCCAATGAAGCTCAGGTCCCTCCTTCCTAGTGTCAGCTGTGTGGCTTCCTAATGGTAGAAGTGGGGCTTGAAAGAAAGAAAACTTGAAGGATTTAAAATGAACCTTTTAAGATCTCTCTTCTTATAAGGTGAGTCAACTATTTGTTTAAGGGAGGGGCTATTTATCAGGGAGCATATAATAGGACAAGGGGTAACAGTTTTAAACTGACAGAGGGCAAGTTTAGATTGGATATTAGGAAGAAATTCTTTACTCAGAGGGTGATGAGGCACTGGCGGCATGGGTTGCCCAGAGAAGCTGTGGTTGCCCCATCCCTGGAAGTGTCCAAGGCCAGGTTGGACAGGGCTTGGAGCAACCTGGTCTAGTGGAAGGTGTCCTTGCCCATGGCAGGGGGGTGGAACGAGATGGTCTTTAAGGTCCCTTCCAACCCAAACTATTCTGTGTTTCTGTGATTCATGTTAATTCCTCCCTGTTGTTTTGGATGCCACCTGTCTCAGGGACAAATGCTTGTAACAGACACCTCATATCAATGTGCCTGCCACTCTTCTGCTACAAGTGTTCAATATTTTTTCACTTCATCAGATTTTTATCTGTGGAATAATACTGTTCCAAATAATAGCTTTGCCATAGTTATGATAAAGTTGTACTTGTGTCTGGGAAAGGGTGGGCTGTGTCTGACTTGACAAGCATGTTTGTCATGGCACAAGTCATTGCTCTTGGGAAAGAGTGGAGAAACTTGTTCAAGTCATGCAACTCCTGTGGTTTGAATTAAGGCTAATGTAAGCACAACATAAATATCTCCTAGCTCTTTTATCTCTGAAGGCAGTTTTCCAAGGGATCCCATGCAATAGCACTCTAAACAGCTGAAAGTTTGCTTCTCTGAGGTTTAGGGTCCTGGCTACTGTTTTACCCATCCAGTACTCCTCAAAATTGAGAATTCTACCCAGACATGATGGTTGTAGCCCAGACTACCTCCAATCTTGACTTCTCCAGTAAGTTAGAAAGACTTTAGAATCATAGAATCATCAATGTTGTAAGAGACCTTTAAGATCATCAAGTCCAACCGTCAACCCAGCACTACCACTGGTAACCACTAAACCATATCACCCAGTGCCAGATCCAGATGCCTCTTAAACACCCCCAGGTATGGTGACTCAACCACCTCCCTGGGCAACCTATTCCAATGCCTGACCACCCTAACAGTGAAAATTTTTTTTCTAATATCTAATCTGAATCTCTCCTGCCTCAGCTTAAGGCCATAAGTTCTTCTGCATTAGTGAGCAACAGGTCCAGCAGTGCGTCTCCTCTGGTTGGGCTCTCTGTCACCTGTACTAGGAAGTTGTCCTCAAAGCACTTGTATTGGGTCTGGTTGACATGGAGTTAACTTTCCCCATAGCAGCCCTCACAGTGCTGTGCTGTGTATCGTAGCTAGAAAGGTGTTGATAACATCCCAGTGCTTTTGCATCAAGGCTGTCTCTCCAACAATACCCCCCTTCACCCCCCCAAGGACAGTAGGCTGGTGGTAGTCAAATATCTTTGGAAGGGACATAGCCAGGACAGCTGACCCCAGCTGACCAAAGGGATATTAACATCTCCTCAGCAATACAAGTTAAGAGAAAGGAAGGAGGAAGGGGAGGGGGGCATTCATTATAAACGTGTTTGTCTTCTGAAGCAACTGCTACACATACTGAAGCCCTTGTCCTATGAAGTGGTCAGACATCACATGTTGATGGGAAGTAGAGAATAAATCTTTTGTCTGCCTTTGCTTTTGCTTTATTAACCTGCCTTTATCTTGACCCATGAGTTTTGTTCTATCTTATTTTCTACCCTCTCTGGTCTTGCTGAAGAGAGGAGTGATAGAGCAGTTTGGTGGGTGCCTGGTATCTGGCCAAGGTCAACTCACTGCAGCACTCCACTTGTTTTCTGGACTGCTTGCAATTCACTGTGCCATTTTTCCAGCAGATATCTGTGTGGTTGAAGTCCCCTATCAGGATCAGGGCATGCGAGCATAATGCTTCCTGCACTTGAACCACAAAGTTTCCTTTCTTGGCTTAGTCTCTAATTTTCACTCAAGCTCTTGACCTGCATATTGCTGTTCTTCAAAGATAGCTTCATGCAATCAGTTCTGGTTTTGGCATAGATGGCAACTCCCCCATCTCTCCTTCCTTGTCTGTCCCTTCTGAATGGTTTAGCCATCAATTGCAACACTCCAATCATGCGATTCATCCCACTAAGTTTCTGTGATTGCAGTCAGGTTGTGGTTTTCCATCTGGGCAGCTGCCTCCAGCTCGTCCTATTTGTTTCTCATGCTGCATACATTGATATAGAGGCACTTTAGCTGGGCTATCAGCCACATCCCCTTTTTAGAGGAGTTCACCCTAATTCCCTTGAGGCGATTCACAGGTGTTTCCTGTTGCTTCCTAATACCTTGGTAGTCCCTGGCTCTTTTCAAGTGCTTAGAACACTGTCCTTCCCCCAACAAATCTAGTTTAAAGCTCTGTTTATAAGTCCAGACAGCTTATTGTCCAGGACACTCTTGCCCTGCTTGGTCACTTGAACCCTGTGAAAATTAATTTATTCCCCTTCTGTGGCTGCCTTACACCACTTAGGCATCAGGAGATGGTGTAGTTCTTTCTGGTTTAGGGAAGTTTCAGAATAGTGTGAAACCATCATAGCTAGCTCATGCAGCCAGGGTTTGTCAGTAGTGTATGTTGACGATGGCATTTGGATAAACAATCCCCATGCACATCTGCAGCATTTCATGCTTCAGTAATTCTGCCCAAGAGTGATGGTCTTGAAGATTTTGTCTGTGTTTTTACTGTTGGTAGAAGCTGGAGTAGCCTACAGGTCCCAGGATTCACTGAGTCCTCTTCTTCCACCAGCATACAAGATTCAGACTTCCTTAGATGTGACCTCATGCACATCTACACTGGTGTCTAGGCTGACCTCTGTCAGGAACTGTAGACTAGATGGATTATCATTCTGCTTTAGTGTGTCAGCCTGCTCACATTTGTAGAATAGACCCTCTACTCCCATTATATTTTCTCCTCATATTTAGCATTTTAATTATTTGTACCTTGTTAATTAAGCACTGATTTGTTTAAAAACAGGGAACGGCTTTTACCTTTTCTTTTTCACTTATGTCCCACTTCTGTAGCTCTCTAGTCTCATTAGGAAATTTAGTATATTTGATAAACTATGTCAGCAGGCTGTAAGTTGAATTCCAAGGGGGACTTGAGCCTTCAAAATATATCTATTAATGCACAAAAAAATGCACCAGTATATTTTCTAGGAGGATGTGGATCTACCTGAAACCTTGTCATTTTATGTGAGTAGAAAAGCATAACACTTTTAAACAAAAGCCTTTTTGGATACAATGGCAATGTTAATGATAGACATCTTACCACAGATGCAAGTAGCTAGGCAAGCTGCTTCTGTGGTGTATTTTTGGAAGCAACTGCTCTTTGAGCCCTTTAGGCTATAATGCTTAAGATAAGCTAGGTGTATCTTAATGGCAACAAATGCAGTTGCAGGGTGTGATAGTTTGGACCTTGGCTTCCTGCCAAATGCCCAAACCTCCAGTAGCAGCCCCCCCTTTCCCCTTCCTTCTTCCTTTAGGGCAAAGAAAGGAAAAAAAAACTATAAAAATTAAAGAACCCAAAGCCAAACTACTTATATAAAAATATATATATATTTACGTAAATCACAGTTATATACAGTTAAGATGCTATATACACAGTAAAAGGGAATCCACCCCCCGAAGGGATAGGGAAAGGGGAAAAAAGGGAGAAAAGGGACAGAAAGGGACACCAAACAGGTATACGCTATCAAACTCAAGAATTATAATAATAACTAGCAAAACAGATCTCACCATGTCCCTTAGAAAAGTAGGATTGGCAGACACAGCCAGCACTCCCCGAAACCTCCATGTGGCAGGACAGTGGACGCTGCAGGCCTCAGCCTTAGATAAGCGAGACCAACGCAAGGACCCACTGTTCCCAAACCTTGCCGGAAGAGAAGAGAGCGAGGTCTCTAATCTCTAACTTATTTATACCCTGGTTTACGTAAAAATCGTA